GATCTGGCCGGAAAATCTGGCCATTATCGGCCAGGTCTGGGCCAAATCTGTGGTCGTTAACGGCCAGATCTGGTCCAGACCTGACCGATAATGGCCAGGGATCTGGCCGTTAACGGCCAGATCTGGCCTGATATGGCCGTTTTAGGCCATCAATATGGCCGAAAATGGCCATAAGGAAGCCTTCCGGAGCCTCCCACAGAATTTTCTTCTTTTTAGGGGCTCCGGGGATTTTTCGACGGTGGTTCGCGGTGGCAGCAGGAGGTGGGGGTGATTTCGTCATAAATTAAAGTTTTTTATAAGCGGGGGTATTTTAGCTAAATCTGAAATATTGGGGGTTAAAAGAAATTATTCAAAAATTAATAATAAAAATAATATTTAAAAGAGGGTCAATTTAGTAATTTAAATAACATACCCACCAATTTATTCCCATAACCAAACATATTAATATAACATACCCACCAACTAACCAAAGATATTTTCTTAAATATTCCCAGTAATCTTCTAAGGTAATCTATCTTTCTAGTAATCCAACATTCCCAGTAATCTAACATTCTTGAACCAAACACCCAAAGAGTAGTGCCACTGGCCCACTGCCACCTTCATTCCAACTAAATTTACTTTCTGAAAACTGTTTGTGGATAAATATAAAACTTATTAGCATCAACTATAAATGTTGGATAAATTCATACAGAATCGACAACGACGAAGGCATGCATAATGCAGTGCGAAAGGCATGTATAATGGCATTTTGAAAAGTGGTTGAGAGTCAGTCCGTCAAAGCTGCAAATTGATTGCCCAAGAAGGGAAGAAGTGACACGGCGACCGACAACGTTGGATTACTTGACGAAAGCAGTGACGTGGTTTAAATCATTTTATATGTCTCCCTGTCCCTATAAAGCATTAAAATGATTTTGATTCCCTCCACTTTTCTTTTCTACTCCTGAAAGAGTGAGTGAAGTCTGAAGAAGAAATATGGCAAGCTCTCAGTGCCTCGAAAACCCACCAACCCTCAGCTCCACTTGTGGAGCAGGGACTGTCCAAGAAATTGCTGGCCTCAACACTTATGTCACTGGACCTTCTGATTCTAAGCTCGCTATTCTTCTCGTTTCTGATATTTTTGGTAACAACCCATCTTCACATTCTTTCATTTCCATTAATTTATATAAGCTTTATTGATCATATATGGTTTATTTTGATGTGGGGTTCCCATTTTTTGGTAAATGTTACGCTTTCTTTGAGTTAATATTATCTGATATATGCTTTTCTTCTTGAAAATTTTGCAGGCTATGAAGCGCCCCTCTTTAGGTATGGTTACTGATTATTGATTTAGCTTTTGCATTAATTGATTCTTAAGCTTTAACGTTGTCAATAAGTTAAGAATACAGTAACTATTTGTTACAATTATTGATGTTAATTTGAATATGTTATTTATCTTGTGAAGAAGAAACGCAGAATTTTCTTTTATATGGTATAGCATGTTAACTTGGTGGGTTCTTATATAAACATTTGTTACATTAGACGACTTACATTCAGACTAGCAATACACCTTATTGGAAATAGGCTTTCCATGTTTCTTTTGCTACAAATTTTGCAATTTATAAGATCCGGAAGTACCTATGTTATAGCATTAATTGGTACAACTGAGCTTAATCAGAGTAGCTAATTAGCCCAATTTGTATCATGTGGCCCGGAGATAGAAAAATGTATCCCATCCATGAACCCCATATCTTTGTTGAATGGTACACTATAATGTATTTGATGCCTTTACTATTTCATATTTAGCATAATAAGTTTTAAGCATGCCTGTGAGAAAGGGAAAAGAAATAAACACGCTTGTATTATGTGTAATATAGTTAAGGTGTGCCCAGCTCTCATCTGCAACGAAGAGATTGTTCTATGGTGATGCTGAATGGTTGGTTGTATCATGTTGAGATTTTTCCCATAATGTTGCCTAAGGACATGAAAAGTTCAATCTTCATGGTCTATTATGTTAGATTTGTCCCACATCGCTAAATTTGTGAGCTGTTATAGTGTATATATGTGATTGAACTCTCTCTTCCCTTGAGTTACTTTTTGGGAGTGAGTTCTATCCATGCCCACTTTATCATGGTATAGCGCTATATGTGGTTGAGAGGGACCCTCCTCCCTTCACTAATTTTGGGCTTGGCTTTTACCCAAGCCCACCTTATCTTTTTCACTTCTAATTGGTGATGTAAATTGAAGAGAATGATTATGAGATGTAATGGTCATTGTTTAACTTTGTGACAAAATAATATATTCATTTTGAATATTTAAAAAAGGATGAATTTTTCTCTCATGTTTTGAACTTGTTTTCAAGTTCAACAATGGAAGTAAAGAGCCAAATGCCATTGAATCATGTCCTGGAGACTGTAAGAAGCAGTCTGATGTACAATTAGCACTTAGAATACTATTCCTTTTACTATCATTGCCATCAGAGGTAGTCTATCCACTGCATAACACAGTTTCCTGGGTAAACAAATAGAGATCTTAGAACAATGCATTTGATATGTTAACCCCTCTTTATCCTTTAATTTCTTTCGGTAGTAAATTTAATGTATATTTTTCAGTTGATTGGATATTTGTATTGTCTTACTGTACAGGAAACTAGCAGACAAAGTTGCAGCAGCTGGATTCTTAGTCATGGCTCCTGATTTCTTTTACGGTGATCCTGTTGATCTGAGCAACCCACAATTTGATCGAGATGCATGGAGAAAAGTTCATACCACGGTCAGTTTATTGCTTCATTAAAGTGTTTGTAGGATGCACTGCTGAAATTGACAAATCATAAGTATACTGCTTACCAATTTAATGATTTCAAAATTTCTTTTGAATATTGTTACAGTTATACGCATTATATAACAATTTAGCCACCATCTCTTTTGGGAGGTCAACGAGATGATGATAGATATAGTCATATCCTCATATTGAATTCATTGTAACAAATAATTTAGAGAAACAGATATATTCGATATACTTAGAAAAGACTTGATATAGTTTTCATTTTCAACATAAGAGTTGAAATCATTTAAAAGGCCATGTAAAAAATGTGAAATAGATCCATTTCAATTTCATTTTGTTACCTTGGATTATTTGAAACAATCCGCATCAACCGCTGTGCTAACCTTCTTTGGATAGAGTTGTCATCATCTTGAACTTGTACAACAGTAAAGTCCTCTCTGGCTAATCTCCTATTAATGCCAATATATGGTGAATTAGACTTTGCAAATCAACAATTGATCTAATAGCCTTTTGTTGAACTGCACTGCTTAACTTAAATAATTCCTTGGTAGGACAAAGGATACGAAGATGCCAAACCAGTGATTGCTGCTCTCAAAAGTAAAGGTGTGTCTGCCATAGGGGCTGCAGGTTTTTGCTGGGGAGGTGAGCTTTTTTCGTTCTCTTTTGTCATTTTAAGGAGTAATATGGCCCCATAGCTTGATAATATTGAACATTAGACACTGAAATTTCATTACTTGCATCTGAATCAGGGAGGGTGGCTGTGAAATTGGCAAGTACTGACTATATTCAGGCTGCCGTTCTGTTGCATCCTAGCCGGATCACAGTTGATGATATCAATGGTAAGTTTTCCACTTCCCTAGCTCACTGAACGTATTTGTTACTGAAGAATCATAACTTTTTTCAGAGGTAAAGATTCCAGTTGCTATTTTGGGAGCTGAAATTGATCATATTACCCCAGCAGAGCAAGTGAAACATTTTGGAGAAATACTGTCATCAAAATCTGAGGTAAGAGATCCTCAAATGAGAAAATTTGTTTATTATTATGCATTCCATCAAAATCCAAAATTTAGGCCATGAAAATATGCTGCTTCAAATACAAACTATTGCAAAATTTAATTGGTTTCCTCTTGCATCTGTGAGCATTTGGTGAAACTTGAGCTTGCCTTTAATGTGGAAAGAATCATGTTTCAACAGTAAACAGAAAATCCAATTTTCTGTAAGAGTTTGAAAGACGAAAGATTATTTTCTCTCTAGCAACAGTGGTTGTGTGTTTTCCAACATAAGCTCGTGTATACAAACTTACATTCTATATGTATGATTGCTAATTGCAGATTGATTCCTTGGTTAAAATATTCCCTGGTGTCTCACATGGATGGACAGTTAAGTACAAAGTTGAAGATGAATCTGCTGTGAAGAGCGCAGAAGAGGCGCATGAGGACATGTTAAACTGGTTTACTAAGCATGTCAAGTGACAGAATCAGCTAGCCTTGGTGGGGTACTTGCACTAGGAGTCAAGTAACTGGCTCAGTACTATTTTGATTATCCTTGTAATTTTCCTGTGTTAGTGTAATCATTGCTGGATATTGGGCTATTCAGAATATCATCCTTTTCATTTTGTATCAAAACTTGCTGAAATCAGTCACAATGCATAAGTTCATATGTATAAATATTTGAGCAAAAACTCTTTTAAGCAAGAGTTGGAATTGCTGGATAATCCCTGACCAGTTCTGACTTCTTTTGGTTGTCTGTTGGATTTATGACGTTAATTTACCACCTAAAAATAAAAATTTTAACTGTGTAGCAATATAACGAGAACATTCTCATAGCTTTATTTAAGATTCGAGATGATTGAAGTATGCCGGTGGATTGACAAAAAAATAAGTTAATCAGAAAATCTGAACCTCTGAACAGTAAAAGGGTGAGTAAACAGTGAAAGGAATTGAGAATTTAGTGAAAGTTTGGGTGTTCTGACTCTGAGAAGTGAAAGCGAGTTGGACGGAATAAAGCAAATATAATTAATTGAAGCAAAGTAAGAAAGTACAGTAAAAATAGGAATTGTGAAGAGATATATGCCAAAAGAAAGAATCTAGAAATTAAATTGGAATGAATTTTTCGTGACAAATACCTTCGAATTACTAAAGTTTCAACTTTTGCAAACTCTTAAAAAAAGGAAAATGTTATACTCAAATTGCAAGGACAATGAAACTTTATTTAGAGATATATGTAAAAAAATAATAAATTAAGTTTCAGACTAGCTGTCACACAACTATTAAATGCTATTCATATTTTGCAAGAAAAATAAAAATAATTTAGGGAAGGCTTGGTTCAGGATCTAGATAATCTTTACTCAAGCCAAGATGTACCATAAGAAGTTTGACATGAGTAAGTAGCTCTCCACCATTCTTGAGTTGTTGCCCATGGTCTTTCCATTCTGAATTAGCTGCAACATATATTAAAGTTTGCAGCCAATATTCGCTCATCACCTTCCACTTTTCTTCAACCTCATCCAACTTCTCAACAATCATTATTGCAAGTTTAATAATTGCATCATCACGAGATGCAGAATCAACAGATGCATCATCAGGAGATGATGAAGATGAACTACTACTAACCTTTTCTCGAACTTCTCGAAGCAACTTGCAAGCATCAACTTTAAGATTTTTACTACTTGAGTTCATATTCCTGAATAAACGCATAGCCCTGGCACAAGTAGCTGTGAACATCACTTCACCAGTCTCTTCGGGCATCACAGATGGACAAAACACTAGAAGATACAGCATGTAATCTGCTAAGCGTCTGCTAATTTTCCAATCTTCATCTTTATCTAAATCTTCACAGTAGCAGATATCAGTAACAAAGTGCCACGCAATAAGGCTGTCCCCGAATCCAAGAGTAAGATCTAGATTTGCAAGACCCTCCAGTTCTGGCCAATTTTTAAACACATACTCACCTTTCTTAGCCAACAAACTACTACGTGCTTTTTTGCCCAGCAATTCAAATTCATTCATTTTCTTTAAAAGATGTTGGAAGATGTTTTCGTGCCAAACCAAATCTATTTCTGCCCAGCTCAAATACTGGTACTTCTCTAACAATTCGTTGAAGGCAAGGAGCTTATGAATTCCGACATAACTGGTCGAAATTTCTCTGAGGCAAAAACTCAGAAGGTTGAACTGTCCCATGTATCCCGACCACCTCTTCCGACTGGTCACGACTGATGGAGATGGACATGTACAAACATTATGGTTTGCTTTTTTAAACATGATCAAATTGATCAGTTTTGTCCAGTCAGAGAAAAAATGTAGGATAAAAGCATAAACCTCTAGCACAACAGCTCCAAAGAGCAATACATAAGTTATGGATAAGTCAATTGGTGAGTAAGCATGAACGTCAACAATGATTGAGAAGAAAACTAGCGCACAAACAGATGAAAGGAAACTAGTAATACGAAGAACGATTCCGAACCGAGAATAAATGATGGTTGCCTTTGTGTAGAGAAAATCATACATGAATCCAAGCTCAATAGCCACCAGATCAAAAGCCACTTCTGCTGTCTTTTTCTCAAAGATGTTATCGCTTAGCTTCCATTCATCCTCGTTGAGAGGTAGACCTGCAAATAAATGTGTAAATCTCTTGAACAAAAAGTAAGCTACAACCAGCGGATCCTTCCGAACTTCTTCATTGATTTCTTCTTCTTTTGTCAATTGAACAAGATCTGGACTAGGATCATGAGTTAATAGCAAGTTATCTCTAAATTTCTCGGTACTCGAAGACCAAAGTACCAAAGTTCGCTCTCCATATTTGATGATTCCAGAAATAAACATTGGAATAGCCAAATATGTGAGGCCCGTATTGCTCCTCGAACGTAACAAGACATAAAACGCTACTCCAACTTGCACAAGAAGTCCGAGAAAATGCCTTGGCCACAACTCATTATCTTCTAAAGAGTACGCCGTGATAGTGTCTGGGCCACCAAGGTGTAAAAGAAGGAATGGCGCCCAAAATGCCTGGAGTTGGTAACTTGATTTTGTACAATTATTTTCTTCGATATCCTCTTGGCTGGTGGCAAGGTGGCCTAGAGCAACAGTTGCTATCCAATCTGCTGCTAGATATGATGACCAAATGAGGACTAACATCCATCCTCTTACTATGTATTTTCTTCGAGAACCAAATAGGATGAGGATCATTTGGAAAAGAAGACTAAGTAAAACCAATAATCGAATTTCCCATCCATTCCAAAGCTGTTGTACTTTTTCTAGAGAAATGTGCATGGTTGTACTCCTTTTCACAGATCAACCAAATCATAGTTTGAAACTGTATCAACCAACTAAAACGTGTTTACCAAAAGAACATTTTTGAGAATAAATGTAAATTGGAACTTGATAAATAAAACTAAGTTAATAGTTATGAGATGAATGATGAATATGAGATATGAGATATATACGTTTACAGTGAGGAACTAATTTTGCTAATAACGAAAAATACATGTGTTGATTTGAATAATGTTGTAGAAAATATTTTTTTCTACATGATGTGACTATAGATAAAATTTTATGTTCTTTCAATACTACTAAACATATTTTGATGATATCCCTTATGATTGTTTAAAAATCTTTTGCTCATACCATATAGAAATGTGATTTTTTACGTTTAATTTTAAAAGGAAAAAAATATTAATCATAATATATCACATAACTCTCGTATTCCAATATTATTTTTGCAGACTAAGAGAAGTTTAAAGTTTCGACATCTATTTTTATTTAATTAATTTTCATCTATCTTAGAGATTTGATGAATTTAAATACACCATAAATTAGTGTAAGAGATAATCTTTATAGTTACCTGTCACCGAGTTCTTCAGCCAAGTGATTGTGGCTTGATAAATTCCAAATGGAGTAAAACTACAAAGGCCAATGAAAATAAAATTAAAAATATAAGAATAATGAAACAGATAAAACTACACCATTTTTAATAACAAATATAAAATTTATATACAAATAAAAAAATATAAAATTTCACCCTTAAAATTTCATTTATCCTTCAACCCCCTTATACAATGAATCTTACAATTTAACTCCCTTAAATGCTATTTAACTCATTCATGTTAATACTTGGGTCTTTCCGGCTCTGCCCTAGCTGCATTTACTTCCATTTTCTTTTTCTATTTTGAAATGCCAAAACAGAGAAATGGAGAAGACATGTGAAAGCAAAAGTAAAAAAATAGTAGTAAATTAAAAAGTTTTGTGTTTGAAAAAAAAAAAAAAAAAAAGGAGTAAACATAACAAATGAAAGATAAAAGATTTTGATTATAAAGTTGAGTAAAGAATATAAAACACAATGAAATAGTGGGCAAGTTTATAAGTAAACCAGTGAGTAAAAAAATAAGATAATAATAAGTTTTTATCTTTTAACAATTGCCATTTGATTTCTACATACCTGAGCTAAAAGACATTAGCTAAACAAACTTTCGCTTGCAAACGTACTTGTAAGGGGTCAAATCAGAACGTTCGTAGAAATGATAGTCTGATGCACACGTGAAAATGTATATATATAGATAGAAAGCCATTTGTTAATGCATCATAAATTTTATTTGCATCATGTTCATAACAAAATAACTCACTAACCTGGAAGAAGAAAATGCAGTCAAGGACTTGATGTCAAGTCGATTGTTTTAAATTCTAACCTTTGAGGCCATCTTACTTATATACAAAGGCAGAGAGAAAGCTCCAAGAGAAGTTAACAAAAAGTGTAGCATGAATTATTCTTAAGTAAAGAATATGTAACTTTTTGTTGGCCTCTCATGTGTTTTGATGTATCAAAACTAATCAAAAAGTTGATTGATCACTAACCAAAACATGCTAAGGTATGATATAAGTCATAACCAAATCAAAATGCAAATACAGATTTTTCAGGTGGTATGACCGTGCTCATGCAAGGCACAACTGTTCGGTGTCATAAAAATTGCCCAGTTGAACATACCATTTCACACGACATCTTTTCATATATGATGGGGTCGAAAACGAGGAGTCGCTGAAAAACCTCCAACATGCAAAAGTCCAGCGAGCTCAAACCTATACCCCAGGATCAACTAAAACGAGTTGTGAGAATATTTATTACCTTCTAATTGAAGTTTCAACACCAATGGACCTTCCTAAGGTTCCGAATTTTTCTAGACGGAACGAGTGGGTGTCGACACTTTCGGAACACTTTTTAAGCTTGTATGTGTGAACCCTTTACTAATTTGTGTTTAAAACTATATTTTAACATAAAAATTCAAAAGGAATTGGAGGAGGAAGGTTCGGCCATGTGAGGAGAGAGTTCGAGATCACAATTTTTATCAAAATGAATTCTTGCATGTAATAGTGATCCGGACACATTTATTCAGAAAGTGGAATTTGGACAATATCATTTTAATCCAAAACTTTACATTAGACTCACGCAAGTATTCCTCCACCAATCATATTATTTTTGGCACACTATTATCTCATACTTGACATGACAATCATATAAGTCTTTCTCCACAAATATATTTAATATATTTGATCATGTCTCTGAATGCATTTCGTAACTTGTCTAATTTAATTTTCCGAACTATTTTAAATAGTTCAAATAAATTAGAATAAATTATTTTTTTCACACATATCATCCAGGATAACTTTTATCGGCTACCTAGGGGACCCATAAGGAAATGTTTAATAATAGGCTTCAACGTATTTGGTTTCGTAGCCCTTTATCTCATAAAGGTAAGGTACCAAATGCGTTAGCGTTGTTCGACTCCACTATAGGGACAAAGCTGCACTCCTGAATTAAACATTCTATATACTAGAAACTTTGATAATATAATCCGATTAAATTATCTCATTAAAACCTTTCCATTTAGTGACAATTACATCTATACCCTCATGGAATATCGATAACTAGAACTAGAACTAGAACTAGGTCACTATACCAATATGCCCTTCCAGTTACATCTTTTCCTTGCAACTAATTTTACTCCCACTAAATGATAAATGTTTAATGAAAACTTCATCAAATGTTTGGCCAAGTCTCATCATTCAAGACCCTGTAAAACCCACAAGGCGGTATCCCTTAAACTTTTCAAAGTTATGAATTCTGTATCTATGGAATAGTGTCTCGGACCCATAGAGCTACAATCCCAATCAGCTAGGGTATTGATCTGTTAAACAACAAAATATCACCTTCTACTCTAATCAAAGAATGCAGTCTACAAATCAAATGTACACTACCCACTAAGGATTAAGGTAAATATGCCTAAGTGCTAAGGTATGAAGTTTATGTTTTTCTGTTACGACAGTTACACAGAATTACAAACTTCACTTGGTCCAGTCCAATGCATACAATATGCACAAGTGTCTTTGCCTTAAAATCCCCATTAATTTTAGTGATTCGAGCTTCATCACCCCCACGGAGGTAGACAACACAACAACCTTATCAAAACAAAGTGTCCAACTCCTATTTTATGGTTGTGAACATGATTTCGAGCTACAATTGAAGGTTGGAATGCATGGAGAATGATGCATATAATACTATAAAATACATATTAGTATTTTGCAAAAATTTTCAATCAAATTTAAAACAAGGTGTAGCTTGTTACCTTAAGTCCTTAGCAACCTTGGAGACTTTTAATTTTAAGAGAAATTAAACAAAAGAGTATCCACACTAAGGTAAAAGTAGAATAAGGCCAAGAGAGATATTTAAGGTTCTTAGAAATTTTTTTGATCTCTACACTAAATTTGATATTTCATTTTCTTTATATATGTAGCCTTGTAAACAATTCAATAATTGTTTTGGACTTCCTTAAACAATTCCATAATTGTTTTGGAGTTGTAAATAATTCCATAATTATTATGAAGTTATTAAACTTCTTTAGATAATAACAGTGAATTAACATTTAATCATAATTGACAATTTAACTCTTAAATTGTTTACATAACAATTAAACCCTTAAATTGTTTATATGTTTACAATTACAACCCATTATTAAATGCAATTTAATATAAAGAAAATGATTAATTATGAATTGGAATTCCATTTAATTCCAATTAGAAATTTAACCCTTAAATTATTCATAATTACTAACATAACTCTCCATTGAATCTAATTCAATGATAATAATATAAATAACTTTATTACCCTTAGTAGATGCTAGCCAACCTTGGATAATCAACTCTCTTTGGCTATTTCTCCATTTTCCTTTGTTTTTATTTGTGACCTCTTATGTTCACTGTGGCCTAGCCGTGGGCCTAATATTGTAGTCTATTCCGATATATTTCGTCATAACTTTTTATGACCAAAACTCCCACCGATTATGGTAGGCATCTAGTAATGCTCCATAACCCCTAGGTCATAATGAAGATCATATACTCCAATGAACCCTTTTATAATCATATGCGTTGTGTAATTAAATTCTTTCGTTGTCTAATCCCAATTAAGAATAATGGATTCATGGTATGTCAAAATCCTTGTCTTAATCTTATATCAAATTGACAATCACTATATACGGAACATGTCACCATGAAACAACCTTTCAGGTAACATTTTATATACCCTGGCCGAAGATTTCCCTCTTCTAATTTATCTTGACATTTGTCTAGGAACTTGATATCATCCTAAATCAAGTCAATGAATCCCATCTTGACTATCACTTGTCTTTAGACATAAATAACACATGGCCAAATCAGCTTTTTACATATGACATGATTAGTCTCGTGTTTATACACCATATGAACCATATGTGTTTATGCAGAATCCAACTGTGATATCTCAGATGTACAGATTAATAGTATACTAGTACGATCTTATGATTTATCACTGATTGCATTCTAAATGTCCATGTAATTTATCATAAATGGTCATATTCGATAAACAGTTCACTAAACGCTTATCCATACTAATGCCCTAGTGATATAACTTCTATAATCACCCACACTAATACCATCACATGATATTCAATTGAGGCATTCAACATGCCTACTATGTAATATTATTGCCTAATTAATATTACCTATGTAAAGAATACTTTGATGATTTTGGTCTTCTAAAGATTTGTATCATCTGGACATTTTACATGTAATACATATATATAAATGAAGCAGTAAATCATATGTGAAATAAGAACACTTTCTTTATTAATAAGATAAAAATGTATATACAAAAATATATACATTAACATATATATACAAAACATAATACCTTGGAACTGACAACACGATTGGTTCCTAGGGCATACACTAACAAAACTCCCACTTGCACTAGAGCCAATCGTTGTGGTATCTAATACACATCTTCTCAAGATGATGATCTAATTGCTTCTGTGTCATTGCTATAGTAGGTGGGTTAGCTACGTTATCCGCTGAAGGTGTTTTTGCACCAAAATTTCTCCAGCTTCAACAAGCTCTCTCAAAATATGATATTTACGCTAAATATGTTTTGATTTTTGGTGTGCTCTTGGTTCCTTTGCTTGTGCAATAGCACCATTATTGTCACATAACAAGGTTATCGGATAACTCATGTTCGGAACCACATCAAGTTCAGCTACAAATTTGCATATTCACACACCTTCTTTTGTTGCTTCTGAAGCGGCAATATATTCAGTTTCTGTAGTGGAGTCGGCAATGGTCGACTGCTTAGAAATTTTCCAACTAACTGCTTCTCCATTACATGTAAAGATGAATCCGGATGTAGACTTTCTCTCATCCACATCTGATTGAAAATCAGAATCTGAGTATCCTTGGATTTTCAATTCTAAACTCCATAACTCAGTATTAAATCTTTAGTCCTTCTCAAGTACTTAAAGATTATTTTAACTGTTGACCAATATTTCTCTCCTGAATTTGATTGATATCTGCTCGCAACACTTATAGCATGGGCTATATCAAGCCTTGTACATAGTATTGCGTACATAAGACTACCTATGGCTGAAGCATTAGGTATATTACGCATCCGCTTTCGCTCCTGATTAGTCTTAGGACTCATATCCATAGAAAGATGTAGTCCATGACCGCAAGGCAAAAAACCTCTTTTTGAGTCTTGCATGTTGAACTTTTTCAACATTTTCTCTATATACATGCTTTGAGATAACCCAATCAGTCCTTTCGCTCTATTTCTATAGATGCGAATTCCTAGGATGTAATTTGCTTCTCCCAAATCTTTCATTGAGAAAGCCTTTGACAACCATATCTTAATTTTGATCATCATGCTAATATCATTTCCCATTAATAATATGTCATCTACATATAGTATGAGGAAAATCATGACATGATCTTTTACCCACTTGTATACATACAGTTCATCCAGATTCTTTATGAAACCAAAAGTTTTGATCGTTTCAATAAACAAAATATTCCAGCTTCTGGAAGCTTGCTTCAATCTATAAATGGATCTACGTAATTTGCACACTTTATGTCTCTCAGTATTGGATACAAAACCTTCAGGTTGTTGCATATATATGTTTTCTTCAATAAATCCATTGAGGAACTCGGTCTTGACATCCATCTGCCAAGTTTCATAATCATAGTATGTTGTTATGGCTAGCATGATTCTAATGGATTTAAGCATTGCAACTGGTGAAAAAGTTTTCTCATAATCCAACCCTTGTTTTTTAGTATAACCTTTCGCTACCAGTCTAGCTTTATAG